CCTCCTCTCATTCACCCGATCCTCTAAATATCTCTGTGTGTTTGTTTTCAACCCACTATTCCCCCACACTTGATCCAGGTCTGTACTACGGCATCACCATCGCCATCGTGTCGTTCGCCACAGCAATGACAGTGTTTGTGCTCAACATACATCACAAGGGCGCCCGCGGCAGGGAAGTGCCCAGGATTGCCAAGAAGATTTTCTTTGGCGTTGTGGCCAAAATCATGTTTATCCATCTAGAGCTGGACGACCCTCCGGCCTCGCCGAAACCTGGCAACGGACCTAGAGGCCTGGTAAGTGGCAGACAAAGAAATAAATGTATTCCGCGTTACTGTAAGTACTAGTGTTTTGTCTTTGGTGTATGTCACCGTAGCACTACCCCCCCCCCCCCACACACACACACACACATACACACATACACACACATACACACACACACACGACTGATAGATAAAACAAATCTCTTTTAACTGCGCCGATGGTGAGATCTACAATAAATGTTGACTGTCAGGTTCGTTTTTTTTTATAAAAAGACAGCACACCAACTTACAGTGTACAATCTCTGCTCTTTGCTGTTGCTCTCTCAAGTCGTGAGTTCGATTGCCATGTGAGGTCGCTTTAAAAAAAAAATCCAATACCTCGCCGTCTGTCTGATGGAATTTTGTACACGTTTTTCACTCCGGCCGGGGTCTTTACGGGCAAGCAGGATCGAAATTGCCAGTCTCCAAAATTATCTAAATTACATTGATGAGGGGGCCAGAATCTTACAAAATACAATGTAGGTTGCCCTTCGTTGCCGAAGATGACGATGAATCCTGCAGCTCATTTGTGGACGCGCATAATGTGGCTGTGCAATCCGATCCTGGATGAACAATGTCTGTTGCAGTGGGGACACTGAAATGATCGTGGTTGTGGAGGTTGGCTAATGGCTCCTCTCTCCTCTGATAGTCAGATTTTCCCTAACTACAAAATACAATACAATTAATACAATTACAATGTTGAATAGAACTGTGATACTACCGTTTGGTTTCTATCCTCCAGCGCTGCTCGCTAGACTTCTCGTCGTGGACCTATGACGCAGCAGGTTTGAACCTCCTGACGCTAGGCCCCGACAACCAGGGCGACGTGAGTAACTACAAAAATAGCACGGAGTGGCAGCTCATCAGTTATCTTCAAGAGAGAGAGGTCAGTCAATAACAGAGCGGTATTTAATTAAGGGTATCCGTCATAGACGCTACTGTGTTATTACTGTTGATATATCTGTTGTGTATGCCTCTGTGGTGACCTGATTCACACATCACGATATTAATTATCTCTTTCCTGGCGTCATGGGTTACTTGCAGTTTTCGTTTTTATGTCCTTGTTTTCGTTTTGTTCGTTTGTTTTCATTTTTTTTCCTTTTTGTCTTTGTGTGAATGATTTATTTTCTTTGTTTTATTATTGCTGTTGCTGTTTTCTACTTGGTTTCTTTATTTGTTGTTGTTTTATTTTGTTTCTTGGTTTGTCATTTGTTCGTTCATTCGTTTTGTTTTTGTTGTTAATGTTGTTTTTGTTGTTGTTGTTGTTGTTGTTGTTGTTGATGTTTGGTTGATTGTTGTTGTTGGGGGCTTTTTTGTCTCTTTTTTTAGGGGGAGGTTGTTGATATTGTCACCTTAGCTTTAACCATTTAGAGGGGGCGAAAATGGAAAAGATCTGCTCATGATTGACACTGCATTGTTGTCCTCTGTTTCTTGGGGTTTTAGTTTTGTATTGTATTGTATTGTTGTATTTTGCTGTGTTAGTCTTGTTTTGTTTTGTTTTTGTAGGTCCATACTTTTGTTATTTGGGGTTGTGTTTTTTTGTGTTTTTTTGTTGTTGTTTTGTTGGGGTGGGGGGGTTGGGTGGGGTGATGTTAGCTGTAACGGTGCGTAACGGTGTTGTTTGGGAGGGGACGGGGTAGTTGTTATTGTTCTTCTGTCGAAAAAGAACGTTCTATTTTTTTCGCTACTACCATTTTCTTCTTTTCTGTGGGTTTTTATTTCTTTTCTTTTTTTAAGGCGGGGTGGGGGGTACTGAGAACAGATGCTTTTCGAGATGATTCATTTCACTGTGGGCCGAGCATGATCATGGATGTGATTCCTCTTAGCACCCATCGCAATCTGTGCAGTTCATTCCCTGATAGAAAATGTCTAGGAGGTCTGTAGTACACTGGTCTGCCGAATGTGCTGCATCGTGGCAAAGGGGTGATAATCTGGCAATAAATCTACACGCTCAGCACCGTGCTGTCGTTAGAGCGCACTAACTCAAATGGAAGATTTAGGAGAGAGAGAGAGAGAGAGAGAGAGAGAGAGAGAGAGAGTGAAACAGAGTGAGAGAGACAGACAGAGAGAGAGACAGACAGACAGAGAGAGAGAGAGACAGACAGAGAGAGAGAGAGAGACATAGAGAGACAGACAGAGAGAGAGACATAGAGAGACAGACAGAGAGAGAGAGACAGACAGAGAGAGAGGGAGAGAGAGACACAGAGAGAGAGAGAGAGACATAGAGAGACAGACAGAGAGAGAGACAGAGAGAGAGAGAGACAGAGAGAGAGAGAGACAGACAGAGAGAGAGACAGACAGAGAGAGAGAGATACAGAGAGAGAGAGAAAGAGAGAGAGAAACTGTTTCATTCTTTTAACAATTGTAGTCAACCTTTTTTATACATTTTCCTCTCGGTTTTTTTTTAAATTAATTTTTTTTTCTTGCACAATTAGAATTTGGATTTTGACCAAATATTCCCTGGGGACGTACTACCGATACCACAAATTAAGAAGCTGCAATATATCAGAAGAATTTCAAAATTGTGGTCTTTGTGCATATCCGACCAGCTGTATGATCGACATGCATTAAGCATAGTCCTTGTCCTGGTCCTCGGCGTGTCACCTGTTGCCCGTGAGTGGTTGGCGGGTGCTCTGGCGTGGTTTGCTCCTTCTTTCCTATCAAACATCTATTGTCCTTATCTCCCCTCCTTTTTTGTGTTTGTTACTCTCTTGTAACACCTCTAATCTTCTGACGCTCATATGACCTTATGCAGTTGCGAGTGCCGTAAAACTCTTACTAAAACTAAACACCTGTTGCCCTGTGTCGAGTGTTGCTGTGTTTCACACCTGTGGCTGTCGGAGTCTCTCTCCAATGGTAATGACGATATGATAGCAGGGCAAGAACATGCTATGTATTTTTAAGCGCAACGTGTTCATGTATTATTATGTCCTCCCATCTCGGACGATAAAGAGTATGTCAGAATATGTTACTGTACTTTTGGAATATCTT